CCACACCTCTATTAGCTTGGACTACCACCTGTCCTATCATAGATACCCTCTCCTTGCTGGTACCCCCTACCCGAGGCTACCAAAATAAACCTTTAGTTCCGGTATCCTCGCCCCTACCCTATCGCCGGAACTTGGACTGTCGTCTAAGTATTGTCAGAAGCCCCTCCTATTTTTGGGACCGCCTCCTCCTTAGGTGGTTGGCGGGTGCTCTGGTATGGTACATGTATTCTCCTTCTTCCCTATCAAACACCTATCGTTCTTTTATTTCTTCCACCCAATAGATTTGTGTTTGTTACTCTCTTGTAACGCCTTTAATCGTTAGCTCTTAATTAAGTGACCTAATTGTGTTGCGAGGGCCGTAAAAACGCTTACTAAAACTAAAACCGCATCTCCATGTGTTGCTGTAGATATGTCCCCTGGGTTTTATGCACCCCGCATAATTTTGCAACATTTGATCCTTTTTTTTGTGTGCATAATTTCTGATTATTTTTTTTTTTATCATTCTTTGTTAAAATTAACAGAATCGCATAATTTCCCATGTTTGGGCTCAGTTTGCATAATTTCATAATTTTTCTTGCATAAAACGACGGGGACAGGTAGATCTAGATACATGCACACGTATCCTAGCCCTTCGTTTTCTGTAGTTTTTTTTTTCTTTTTTTATTGTTTTAGTTTTGGGTTTTTTAGGCTGTCGACAGAGCATCGCCCCATCAGGATGGCCAGGCTACTAAGAACTCAACAACAGACTGTCTCCACCTTCCCCCTCACACTGCAGTGTCTCTGCCTGCTACTACTACTCACCTACCCCACAGCGCACGTGTCAAGCCTGGAGACAAAACAGCTCAGCTGCGCGGGCTCTCAAGGACACATCATCAGCACGTGCGACCAGAAAACCGTCGACGCGTCACCGACAACGACGAGCGTAATGCCGTGCGTGCGGGCCTGCAACGAACTTCCGGAGTGCCTCGCCTTCAACTTCAACAAGATTTCCGGCGTGTGCTCGCTGTGCCAACGCCGTCACGTGACAGACTTTGGTCCATCAAACGACGCTGAGAACAGTGTCCGGTACCTGTGTTTCGACACGCAGCACTACTGGTCCAACCCTCCGTCGTTTCTCCCGATCTCAATGCCGAAAGGCTCCTACAACGGACAGATCGTCCGAGTCTCCGGCGTTGCCATGGAGACAACTTTCGGCATCAGCTTCCGGAACATGCCGTGCGCGAATGACACCTCGTCCTGTGAGATAGACGCAACCTTTGACGTGGAGGTCAAGGAAAACAGACTGGCTGCTAGTAAAATGGTGTTTCAAACTGTGGGTCGGAAGATCTACTCTTCGCTGAACGGGTTGGTCGTGAAAGGTCGGAGGTTCGAACTCCTTATACTGGTTGGAGATACGGAGTACAAGGTGTTCGTAAACAACCAACTGGTGGCCAGCTATGGTAGGCTCCTCATCTTCGGGCTGCAAGACTTCGTGTACCTCGTGTTCACGGGGGACTTGGAGCAGCTACAGATCTCCTTTGTGGCGTAGTAGTAGGCCTACCTTCCCCGCGGTTTTATGCAAAAATAATTCTGAAATTATGCAAACTGAGCCCAAAAAGGTGAAATTATGCGATTCTGTTAATTTTAACAAAGAATGATATAGGAAAGTAATCAGAAATTATGCAAAGAATGATTAACTTTTGCTAAATTATGCAGGGTGCGTAATACTAATACCCTGGGGACAGGTAGTAGTAGTACATGTAGCAGCTCAATAATAATTAGCAGGTAAGATCGCGTTATTGTAATAGCCTCCCCTGGGGCCGCTTTTTCTATAATAATAAATAACATTTGTATAGCGCATGTCCCCACTCGAAAGCAAGCTCTATGCGCTTTACATTATATTATTACCCCAGCAGACCGCTATAGAACACTCAGAAACATTCTCAGCTTCCCGAAAAGCATACATACAGTGCAAGCGGCTGGTTAAGCGCTCAAACACTAACAAACTGACAAGATCTTTCACTGTCCATAGCTGGGTACCCATAGATCAGATGGCCCTGGTTCGGTACCCATAGATCAGATGGCCCTGGTTCGGTACCCATAGATCAGATGGCCCTG